GGTGATTTTGCTGCTGCAGCAGCAGCAGCAAATTGGTGCTCCGAATAGCTGCACCGGATGCCGGCAGCAGCTCGCCAGTACTGTTGCAGCAGCAGCAAGCCCTGCTGCTGCTGCTGCTGCTGGGACCTTGCTGCTGCAGCGAAGTACATTGGATGGGGGAAGTCGATCCGCTGGGGGTGTGGGGTCTCCAAACGGAGGCCTCTGCTGCTGCTGCTGCTGCTGCTGCTGCAGATGCTGCTACCACTGCTGCTGATACTGCTGCTGTTGCTGGCGATGACGGTGCAGGCGGTGCTGCTGGAGTTGCCGCTGCTGCTGATGCTGCTGTTGCTGCTGCTGATGCTGCTGCCGACTGGGGTTGTACACTGGCCCGGGCGCACGCCCATCTGCGGGCTGCTCCCTGTGAGCGCAGCAGCACTTGCTTTCTGCTGCTGCTGCCGCTGCTCGTGCTGCTGCTGCTGCTGCTGCTGCTGTAGAGTACCGCTGGGCGAAGCAGCAGCCTGCCAGACATTTCTTGTCTTCGCCCAGAGGCTTCTGCTGCTCTATACCTTTGCTGCTGCTGCTTCTGCTGCTTCTGCTGCTTCTGCTTCTGCTGCTGATGCTGCCGCTGTTGCCCACGTTGCTGCTGTTGTTGTTATTGTTGTTGTTGCTGCCGCTGCTCGCCTTGCTGCTGCTGCTGCTGCAGCCCCCAGGTAAGCGCCGAGGGTGCAGCGGCAGCAGAAGCTCCTCGTCTGGAGTCTCTGCAGCAGCATCCGGCCCAGAAGCAGCAGCAGCTTCTGCTGCTGCTGCTGATGTTGCTTCTGTAGCAGCAGGGGCTGCAGGCGCCTCTGCTGCTCTGCTGGTGCCTCTGCTAGAGCTACGCCACGAGGTGTAAGCCGCAAGCGCTGCTGCTTCTGCTTCTGCTGCTGCTGCTGCTGTTGCTGCTGCTGTTGCTACTCCTGGTCGTACTTTTCCACCCTGTACACTGCTGACGACCTCGATCAGAGCAGCAGAAGCAGCAGCAGCAGCACTTCTACCTGCTGTTGTTATGCTTCCCCGTCGGATTTGCTGCCGCTGCTGCTGCTGCTGCTGCTGCTGCTGCTGCTAACGTGGCGCAAGGGAGAGAGCACCCCACACTAACGGGCGTTGGGGTGTACAGGCAGCAGCGCAGCTGTCAGGGAGCGAAACAGATAAGGGATCAGACAAAGAAATTGGTCGCCTTAGCTGCTGCTGCTGCTGCTGCTGCCGCTGCTGCTGCTGCTGCTGCTGCTGCTGCTGCTGCTGCTGCTGCTGCTGTTGGGGGTGGTGCCTGTGTCTTATAGAAAGATGCCAGTATGCTCGCCGCAGCAAAATAAAATAAATAATAATCAGCGAGAACTCAAAAATAATTCAACACATTGATATTACTGCGGAGCAGCAGCAGCAGCAGCTATTGCGGTTGCTGCTGCTGCTGCTGCTGCTGCTGCTGCTGAGAGGCGGCAGCAACAGCAACAGCAACCTCTCTTAGTCGAGCACAACGCGCAGCCTTCTGCTGCAGCAGCAAAATAAAAGGTTTTAATTATACAAAATTAATAAACATAAGCAAATACTTCTTTTATTCACAAATAATAGAACCAGCTGAAGCAGCAGCAGCAGCAAGGCATGCTGCTGCTGCTGCCTGGCCTGGTCGCCTCTGGACCGCTGCCGTCCGCTGCTGCTGCTGCTGCTGCATCGACGCTTGGCAGCAGCAACAGCAGCAGCAGCAGCAGCAGCAACAACAGCTACAGCAGCAACTGTCAGTTCTGTTATATAAACCGTATTCAAGCCTTTTTAGTGTATTATTCTGCTGCTGCAATTGCTGTCTCGCAGCAGCAGCAACAGCAGCAACGGCAGCAGCAGCAGCAGCAGCAGCAGCAGCCACCCCATCATCCTTCGATGCTCCGCAGATAAGTAAGAAGCTTTCTTTGTCTCTTACAAGAAGATTAAGGCGGTTCTTTCTTTGTATTTCAGTCTGCTGCAGCTGCTGCTGCTGCAGCAGCAGCAGCAGCAACAGCAGTGACAGCAGCACAGCCCTCCGTCCGCTCGCAGGTAGAACTCGAAGCCTGTTCTCTTCCTTGTCTCTGGTGCAACAGCTGCTGCTGCAGCGATTGTTGTTGCTGCTGCTGTTGCTGCTGCTGTTTTATTTGTTTCTTTTACTACACAGTGCAGCCTTAAGGCAGCGACACCAGCGGACCCACAGCAGCAGCAGTAGCAGCAGCAGCCGCTGCTGCTGCTGCTGAGAAACATATAATAATGAAGGGCTTCCTTAAGGCATTCCGCTTCAGGTGAGTATATCTGTCTATGACGCAGCTTCTGCTGCTGTTTTTCCTGCTGCAGCTGTTAGCCGTTGCTGCTGCTGCTGCTGCTGCTGCTGTTGCTGCTGCTGTTGTTGCTGCTCGGCCTTGTTGCAGTTCGTGCTGCAGTTCACCGTCATTTAGTCGCTGAAGGCGGTGAAGCTGCTGCCTATCCCAAGAAGACTCTATATTGTCTGCTGCTGCTGCTGCTGTGTTGCTGCAACTGCAGGCGGACGAAGAGCCGTGGGTCTCCAGCAGAAGAGCAGCAGCAGCAGCAGCAGCAGCAGCAGCATCAGCAGCAGAAGCTGCAGAAGCTGCAGAGGGAGCCAGATGAACACCAACGAGAAGCCAGCAGCCAGCAGAACACAACAGAGCAGCAGCAGGAACAGCAACAGCAGCAGGAACAGCAACAGCAGCAGCAGCAACAGCAGCTATCGGGATGCCAGACGTCTGCCCCTACTGCTGCTCCAATTGATAGCAGAAGTATCAGCAATAGCAGCAGCAGCAGCAGCGTGGATGTAGGGGCTCTCTTATGTGCTGACCCCTCGCTGCGAGGCGTTACTGCTTCCTTCTGCGCGACAGCAGCAGCAGCAGCAGCAGCAGCAGCAGATTCTGAGACGTGTAGCTGCCGCTTTAAATCAGACGAAGACACAGCAGCAACACTGCAGCATCCCCGTGCATGCAGGTCGGGGTGCAGCAGGCCTCCTGCGGTGTCGCCGAGGACAGCAGCAGCAGAAGCAGCAGCAGCTGCAGCAGCAGCAGCAGCTGCAGCCGCAGCAGCAGTAGCAGCAGCAAAGGATTGCTTCGACGTAGAAGGTTATCCAGAAGCAGCAACAGCAGAGGGGGCCCTATATAGTTCTTCTCTTGCTGCTGCTGCACTGGATGTCTCTTCTCTGTCCTTCAGCCGAGCAGAGAAGGAGCTGCTTGCTGCACTCAAACTACCTCAACTTGGTAATACTGCTGTTGCTGCTGCTGCTGCTGTTGCTCTTGCTGCTGGTGCTGCTGTTGCTGCTGGTGCTGCTGTTGTTGTTGCTGCTGCTGCTGGTGCTGCTGCTGGTGATGGTACTGCAGTCGCTGTTGCTTTTGTTGCTGCTGCTGCTGCTGTCGCTGTTGCTGCTGTTGCTGCTGTTGTTGCTGCTGCTGCTGCTTCAGGAATGGCGCTCTTGCCTGGGAACTGTTGCTGTTTCTTCTCACATGCTGTTGCTGTTGCTGCTATTGCTGCTGCTGCTGCTGCTGCCTCAGGTTCTTCTTCTACAGACTTCCCGCTCCCACCGGCGTTGCTGCTGCAGGAGGCATTAAAGAACAAAGAAGACCCTGAGGAAGCAGCAGCAGCAGCTGCTGCGATGCTGCAGCAGCAACCGCAGCCATTACCGCGGTCGCGGATACCCAAATCCCCCGTCAGCCCCAGCCCCAGCAGCCCCAGCAGCAGCCCCAGCAGCAGCAGCAGCAGCAGCAGCAGCAGCAGCAGCAGCAGCAGCAGGCAGGAAGCAGGGAGGGGGCCTGCAGGTGGGGCGAGCGTTGACTCTGTCTTGTCGCTGCCTCTCCTTCAAAAGCGGCGACTTCTTTTTAATATGTTAGCGAACTTCTGCTTAGAAACAAATGCAGGTAAATCAACATCACGCCTACACCACCCTAGCTAGCTAGCTAGCTAGCTATACAGCTAGCTACCAGCTAGACAGCTAGTTATATAGACAACTAGTTATACAGACAGCTAGCTATACAGACAGCTAGCTGGCTAGGCACTTAGCTAGGCAGCTAGCTAGCTAGACAGACAGACAGACATCTAGCTAGCCAGACAGATAGCTAAACCGTTAGCTAGCTGTCTAGCTAGCCAGCTAGCTAGACAGCTAGCATGGAGAGCGTCTGTATTTTTATGTTTTCTTTGGTTGGCGACGGTTTATATTTTTGTTCGTTTGTTTGTTTTTGTTATTTATGTTTGTTTATTTATATTTATTTATATTTATTTATATTTATTTATGTTTATTTATGTTTATTTATATTTATTTATGTTTATTTATATTTATGTTTATATTTATTTATATTTATTTATATTTATTTATACGTATTTGTTTATATTTATTTATATTTACCGCCGTTTATCTCTCTTTGTTTCTGTTTGCTTCTATTTATTTATACATGCTGATATTTATTTATATTTATATTTACATTTATATTTATATTTTATATTTATATTTATATTTATATTTTATATTTATATTTTATATTTATATTTATATTTATATTTATATTTATTTATATTTGTTTGTTTGTTTGCTGCAGGCGTTCGTTTGATGCAGCTGACGGGCGGTCGGGAAGCCAGCGATGTTTTTTTGCGTTTATCAGATAATTTGCAGCACTTCTTGCTGGACAGCGGAGGGGGTACTTTAATTGAATTTCCTTTGACTTCATTAGAAGCTGCATGTACACTCCAGAGAAGAAAGGTTGCTGTTGCTGCCAGCAACTCAACAAGCAGCAATATAATACCCCTACACCGTAAAAACAACGTACAAAAAACGCAGCAGCAACAGCAACAGCAGCAGCAGGAACAGCAGGAACGGTTACAGGAGGAGAAGGGGGAGCATTACCACCAGCAGCAGCAGCAGCAGCAGCAGCAGCAGCTGCCTCGACTAGACTTAAGAAAGATACATACAAACCAACAGCCTTCGTATATAGAGAAGTACAGCGGAGAGTGCAGAAGTGAAGAAGATAACA